TTTTTTGAGCGTCGTTACTACCGTAATTTATGGCTGATTGAATTCGTGGTTAGATACACCGCGCTCTTGTATGGACATTTGAACATCGCGTAGTAGTGTGAATATTGCATTGTTGTCTTAGAAGCGTTGTTGGTTAATCCATGTAAGTTAGGATTACTGAATAAATCATATTGGGGATCTTTATCTTTTATTTCCAATATTAATTGGTAAGTTATTGATATTGTGAGTTACTTAGGGTATCTGGAGGATTAAATTTACCTGGCGCCCATTAAGATCTATTTGAAATTTGCTAAGTTGTTTAACCCACTCCCGTCTCCACTGTTTAGCTTAGCCGCGGATACCCATCTGTCTTATTTGTTATCGATAGATGATTTAGTCTCCTCTTGTGGTTTGTGAGGTGACATTCGACCTTTTTGAGGTTTTTCAGGATCGGCACCGATAAGACCCATAGCTACTGATAGTCTGAACTCTTTCAAACTTAGGTTTTTTTCTTCTGCACTGACTCTTCATTTGAAAAGGAGAAATGCGTTTACAACAGTCAGATCGACAAAATGCCAAAAAAACCGGTGCCACCATTTTTTAGATTTCCTATCGATCTCATAACATGACTTGTACATATCGCTTAGGTCTACGAAGCCCATATTCTTATTATAATCTTTCACCATTTTTAGGCATTGGATCTCTAGGCGAGAGCCGTCTTTTTGCTTCCTTGATACCTCTTCAATATCCTGAGGGTTGTGAAAGTTACTGATGAGAAGAACCGGTTTATTATCATTTCATTTCAGGGCTACAATGCCAGTATCAGTAATACGCCAATCATGATCACCCCTTTTCATTGTTTTATCTGCTGGAAAATATTTAGGAAATCCCTTTCTATCTCTTCTCGCTGTTCCACAGCAATAGACCCCTTCAATTTGCAATTTTTTTAACTGAATTGAAGAAATTATCAACGTAGACTTCATGATATCCACCTACCAGCTCTCTGGTCAAGTCTATCACCACTCGAGTTCCTAAGCCTTGTTCACTCTTTTCATTCGTTTTCCCTATAAAAAATTAATTAGTAAGCAGTTCACATAATTTTTAGATTGTATCGATTTCTTTAAAATTGTTATTAACTTATATGTATAATTTATTAGTCTTTGACTAAATAAAGGATTTATGTATATAAGCCAAAAAACAATACAACCTTTATATATCTGGAACTGTGAAACATAACCGGATTCATTTGCTCGTACCCACATTTTGTATCCTCTTTTTATTGTTTTTTTCGGCATATACTGGCGAAATGAGCATTTACCTTTGAACCTTATCATAGATTCATTTATACTTTGGCATTTTGAAGGTTTGTAGGATTCCGAATATGTTCTTGACAATGTTTCAAGCATGGGCCTGAGTTTATAGAGTTTGTCATAATTAGCTTGCCCTTTCTTTGGCTCGATTTCATTGTCGTTCAAGTGCATATTACCAAGGAGCCAACTGAATCGATTTCTTGACATGCATGATGAAATGAATTCATCACGCATTTCCAGCCTGGAAGACCAATAATCCTTGTAGCTTGGCAACTTCTTTATCCCCATGAGCAAATTCATCCCAATGAAACATTTTATTTCTTCATATGTAGTAGAATTTTGTGAGTTCAAAACATTTTTGTGTAGAATACAAGTTAGTTTCAAAAACGATTTGATGCAGGAGTTCGTCGGTGAACAAATGAGTGAAAATGTAGACAGGACTTTCCAGGTGGTCAGGAATATTAGATCCAGAAGGTTTTTCGAACTGAACTGGTACAACTACGAGATCTAACGATTAAGTCCAATGGATTACATCGGTATTGAGAACTCCATCAACTGGCGATAAGAAGTTGGCTAGAGGCATATCATCATCTGTATCCCACTCCATGAGATCATTATCGATTTCTGTCAAGATTTCTCTAGTGGTGGTAACTTCTTCATTATCAATAAAAGTCAAAAGATTTCCATGTAATTCATGTTCCATGGAATTTTCATTAATTTCTTCATCATCCGACACAACGGATTCATTATCGGAAGGAATTTCTTCGATTAGATCGAAGACATCGCAGGCTGATAAATTTTCCAAAAAAGAAAAGTTGAAGCTCTTTCTTTCCTGGAAAGAATAAATACTGTTTAGTACTTGTGGCCCCAACTGGAACCACAATTCTAAAGATGGAAGAACAATTATACTTAGGCACTCATTCATCGTGTAATCCTAAAATATATCATTATTTTATAGAAAAAATATACCACCAACTTACCATTATCGTTTGAATGCATAAGACAAAAAGATTACTATGATGATAACAGATATAAATCAATCAACCCTCAACTGACACTCACTGCACATGCACGACTTGAACTATACGTACGCTGTTACAGGGAGCTATCAGGCAACTTTCCTTTCACGCGATCCAGACAGTGGTTCCAGTCAGCGCTAACTGTTCCGCGAGAAAATAATTCTTTGATTTGTGGTTCCATAATGGACCCACCTGCCCACAAAGGGTTAAACGATATAAAAACTGTCGCAGCAATAAGCTCCACACGTTCCAACTTGTCTACAACCCCACCCTAGACACGACTGTTGATACGATATTTTATGGAAGCTCCGTACTGCGAACGATTCGACGAATGCATACTGCAAAACAGCCAATTTGCCTACACACCTTATGCATTATCGTTAATGCGGCAGTACCGATGCATATCGTACTGTAAGCAGTACAAAAAATTGTAACGTGTGTAGGCCGTTTGAAGCAAATCATTTAGGAAAAAAGGTTTTATATATTTCATATCATTATAATGGATATAAAAAATAAGACTTTCTGGGAAGAATTTATTGCTGTATATAAAGAAAACAGCTGCCTGTGGGATGTAAAATCAAAAGATTAAGCGAATAGAATAAAAAGAAATTCAGGTTACGATATTTTATTTGCAAAATTTGAAGAGTTGTTCCCGAACAAATCTCAAGAAGTAATAAAAAAGAAAATAAACAATATAAGAACTTCCTTCAGACGTGAGTTTTGAAAGATAGAAGTCTAAACCTCGGCAGTACGAACTGTTGTGAGGTGTGGATGAAACATGGCTGTTCTGCATGCCGTATGATTTTCTTTACAATTTGCAGTTCAACATGCAGTACGAAAAATCGTAACGTGTGTAGGCCGCTTTAGGGGCGTCCACTGCGAGCATCTTCCTTGGTGCTCATTTTACCTCGTTTATACTTAGCAAACCTTCCTCTCAATGATTTATTTTTCTGGTGGAAAGTCCAAATATATTCATCAAGCCAAGGCTTGGCTTGAACAGCATTTTTTCCCAAAAAACATGGCTTCTTCAACACGCGAAATGCTCTTTTATCCATTTTTTCACACTAACAAAAGTTGATTCACTAAAAATGTTCTATCCCACAAACCAATATTCCGGCAGCTGTGAAATTTGTACACTTGTCTTTTAAAGGATGGGATTAACAGAAAATCGTATGGATTTTATACTAGTAGCATCATCTGTGTTAGAATACAAACTTTTCAGTAGATATGAATGAATCTGTACCATTTTGAAACAATTATTTTCTATTACAGGTGACAACTTTAACAAATTTTTAAACGAAAACACAGAGGCAGTAGAAGAGTCTGCTGGAAAATCGAATAGGGAAGTGATAAATGCAATCGTTTCAAGCGTTTTCCATGGAATTTTCCGATATGTGCCATTCGATGAAATGTTTCTGGATTAGTTAAGAAAACTTTTTGTGTTGTTGTTTTCAGGAAATATCAGAAATTATAATTATGTCCTAACAAAAAGGTCAACATGGTACTTTCAGTGGAATATGTTTTATATATTTAATCTTCAATAGGGAAAAATCAAACGAATTTATTACATCTGTGGAAGATATTATAATTTTTTTTTGTTAATTCACTCTACTTGTTTACTGGGCAAACCAAAACTATATAAATACACTCAATTGTTCTCAATATTACCGGAGTTTTTTCCCAACACCAAATCGTTATTTTTAACACCTCGGCACGTGTTTCGGTCACCAAGTGATCATCTTCAAGAGGAAGATTAAACTATTCCCTTTTCAGTTTAATCTTCTTCTTGAAGATGATCACTTGGTGATCGAGACACGTGTCGATGTGTTAACAATAACGATTTGGTGTTGGGAAAAGACTCCAGTAATATTCATCACCACACCAAAGGTTCCAAACAGTGCAGCATAAGTCAATTGTTCTCAATGAGAAATCCACTTCCTGGCTTCAACTGGCTCAGAAAAAATTAAACTTTCAAAACTAATTTTCGATTCGAAAAAAATAAATATGAATTTTTTTGAAATGAATCAGTGCAAATGCCACACGTTCGCTACTGTGACAGAAAATGTCTTTTGATGCAAAGAAGATACAGAGGTAGGTGGGTCTAAAGTAAATGTGCCTATACGATCATTAAATGCAACCCGCGAAGGTGTGTTGTGGTACCCATATATACAACTTGACCAAATGAATCCAGATTATTATTGAAGCCGATTACTTTACTTACTAAGTGATCTCCCAGGACAACTGATAAGAGTGTATCTAAAAATAATATCTTTAAATATCAGCATGTTAACTTTCGAATTTATTATTATCATCAAATTCACATTTTTCCTCAATGCGAGGGTATCTTAACGGTTTCTACACAATTTTCTTACCTGATCATGAAAAGTTCATGATCCTATGCAAAACAAGTTACAGGAGACATCTACCGCATATTTTCAAAAGTACCATCTGCGAAATGACTCGTCTGTCGCTTTTAACATTTTGTACTGACAGGTGGCAGCACTGATAAAGAGATTACTTGTCTTTAAGCTTTGTAAATAGCTTTGGGCTTTGTATGTTAGTCTATAGGTATTCAAAGCTTTAAGTGTTTGGCACGGAAGAAGTAAGTAGTGTGTACACGTGACATTTTTTATTGTAATCAGCTGATTTTGAAACGGAACTGAAAATTATATATATGGTGAGTTTCTCCTTTCAGGAAGACAAGTATTTCTTACGTTTGTTTTAGTAGATTTCTGTTTGTCTAGAAATTAGCATGATCGATCACAATAGGGAAGTTCATAGTCGCCAGTCATTATGATCTTTTGCGGAATTGGTAATTTAGGTTGGTATATTCTTTCAGTACTCTTAAACATTAAAGTAGGATAATCTCACGAGTGCAACATAATCACAGTTTCGATAGTCTCATTGCCGGAAAACATGGTTTTATACAATAAATTTATCAACAATGTACAAATGCCTACTCTAACCTCAATTTCTAACATTTCTCTATGAGATTTGACATTCTTTCGTATACTCATCAATAGAGGGTGCGCAAGACGACCACGCGACCACGCAAATACATCTAATTACAATTAACAAACATAAGATGGCAGTAAGGATTATGAATTTCACCTTCACCTTCAAACAAAAGTAAGGATTATATTTATTGAATTTTTGAACTATCATCAACGCTATCATCTCATTCGAACTAATCAATCTGAAAGTTACGTTACTTTAATTAAATAAATTCGTGGCTGATGTGTTACTGTTCGTCCCTGAATTTAATATTCTCATTGTGCCTAAATATATTTTTTTATGTATTTTATATTTATTATATCTAATAATGTAGTTCACAATTGACATTTCACATGCGTTCATCACAAGATGGAGCAAAATACCATGGTGTTTAAACTGATTCGCTTTTGTTTTGTCTCTCGACGCGAGTACTAAGATTGACCCAACTTTGTACACCATGTTGATAGATGAAACATGTAAACATTGGTGTGCGCTTAGCGCCTCTGTGAATGGAATGTCGAAGTAGGTTGTATCTATTTGAAGAAGAATCATGAATGCCGTAGATCGAATGTTTTCAATTTCATAAAAATATTTTACATAGGAGAGGGTTAATTCAAGTGATTACAGAAGTGGTAGGTATTTCTATTTGTCTTGGTTCATCAAAAATTATGATCGAGGTGTAATTTGTAATTTCACACAGACTGATTTACGATTTCAGCCATGCTGCTTGCTCTAACAAATGTTTGAAAGTTATGAATGATTTAGTAAAACAAAAAAAAAAAGGTTTGATTTTAGGCAAATATCTCAAAAACTTTTAGAAATTTAAGAAATGATTCTCAAATCCTTGAAATAATTCCCGAAAATACGAATGTTCGGCCCGATTCAACAAAAAAATATTTCAATTCATTGAATATAAATATTAAGGAATAAAACATATCAGATACTTGGAGGATAGTTTAATGAACAGTGATGATGTAGCAAAAAAATGTATGACAATTTCAGTCTCAATTATCTGTCAAAAAAAAAATGGCACATTCTGTTGAAAAGCTGGGTAAGTTTATCGAATTTGTTAATTCCATCTTCCCTTCAATCAAATTCACGACTGAGATGGAAGTGAATAACTCTATAAATGTTCTAGACCTGACCATCACTGGCATTAATAATAAACATGAATTTGCAATTTTCCACAGACATCATTATACACAATTCATCTATACATCCATATAGACATAACTAGCGAACCGCCTCGGCAACGCACGGGTGCAAAAAGGGTAAAAAATGGTTTATTATAAGTCCTATGGAAAAAAGTGAAGTTATAGGTAAAGATCTACAACTTTTGTATTGACAATTTTTTCACATAACTTTTCATGTCCCAAATACATTGTAATTTATTTCATTCAAAATATTTATTTTTTCACCTCATTATCAAAAAAACACCCTAATTTTCAATCGAAAATTCTCGCGTCAAAATATCTGCTTTTTTCAAAAAGTCAGTGCGCTTTTTGTTCGTTGAAATCTCTACTTTTGGATGGTGTAAAAGAAATTTACTTGAGTAAATGTTCTCAGAAAATGCAAAAAATCGATAAAAACAGAATTCGAAAATATGTTTAATCATTATGTACAATTTTGAGATATTTATTAAAATTTACATTTGAATTACTCAAAAAACGTAAGATTTCATGTACAATTAATCAAACCTATTTATAAATGTAAAAATGAAAAAATAACACTGAATCAATAAAGATTTCAAAAATATCAATTGGCAAAAATTAAATCATCTTTCATTTTGGCAAACCTCCCACCCACAGAAAGAACAGCACAACATTGTTACAGGGCATATTATAAGCTTCAAACTTGGTTGGGTAACAAACTCACAGCAATAGATTGGGGCTGGAAGCAACATCATCGTGGCATTATGACCAAATTTACAGAAAAGCAATTAATTCCGAAAGTATTGCTTACAACTATTTGCTGCAGCTTTGAAACTGAATGTAACAGTTTAAAACATGGTTTAAAATGCACAAATTGCCATGGTTCTGAAAATTGCTCCAATATGGAAGAAAAAACCGACGAGGAAGTTAATGAATCAGATGAAATTGTGGATGGAGAACCAATGCAGACTGAAAATTATATTGGAGACGAAGGAGGTGATGGTCTTGAAGTTTTCGAAGATCATCCAGAATTGGAAAGGTTTGTCGAATCTAACAATGAAGAAATGCCAACAAGAAGTCAAAAACTAATGGATAAGTAATTAAAATTCAAGATAAGGTATTTATAAATAACAAAATTAACGTTTTCAAAAATGTTATAATTGATAACGTAATCAGAATTAAGTATCATAATTCAATAGTACGATTTACATGTATATTTATATTTTATGAGATTTTCTATGAAATGAATGTAATCAGATAGAATTGTTAACTGACTAAAATTGCTGCAAGCAATTGTAAATGATGAAAAAAAATCGAATTTGAGTTTTTTCGATTTTTTGCATTTTCTGAGAACATTTATTAAAGTAATGTATATTTGTTCACACCATCAGAAAGTAGAGATTTCAACGAACAAAAAGCACACCGACTTTTTGAAAAAAAGCTGATATTTTGAAGCGAGAATTTTCAATTGAAAATTAGGGTGCTTTTTTGATTTTAAGTCAAAATAAGGTGAAAAAAATAAATATTTCATATCAAATAAATTATAGTGTATTTGGAACATAAAAAGTTGAGTTTCTACCAAATTTCGTAGACATTTTTTTTTGAAGAAGAAAAATAAAAAACCAAAAACTTGGTTATTTGAATTTTTCACATAAATTTTGAGGTTATGTGAAAAAATTGTGAATACAAAAGTTGTAGATCTTTTTATTACCTACAACTTTGCCTTTTAACTTTTTTCCATAAGGCTTGTAGTCTTATGGACTAGTCTAATACCCTAGTCTAATAAAGAAGCGACATTCAATAGTATTCACATACTATTGAATATTTCACTTTCAGAAAGCAATTTCCAAAGAGAATTGATTTTCATAAAACATACTGCTGTCAACAATAGTTACGAAGTGGATATTATTGACTCAATTCTTTGCAGAAACAAGCTTCGAAACATATTATGTAACTCTAACTTTGGTGATCCTACTAATAATATCGGTCGTTTTTTTTTTAATTTCAAAAACAAAGAATTGAACGTAGCCTACAGAACAAATAATAATTTGAGTAAATTCATTGAAAACAAAGATAAATCTTCTATGTCTGATGGAGAGAGGAGCACGAGTTCAATCACGATTATGACGTAATGCATTTGAAAGAGAAAGGTTCAAAATGTCACTATTTTTCGAGTTCGAAGGCCGTGGATTTATGGAATTTCTTCCTGACGTTTCACTAACGCGAAAGCTTCTTCAGAGGTTTAATATATCCTAGATTAATAACCGATAAATCATCGACTATTAATAGTGACACTGAAAATCTTGGTCGAGAAAGACTTAACCATTTTGTCAGAAAGGTTCAAAACCCAACCTTTTGTAAACTTTAGAAATCAATGAATTACAGAATTAGGGATTGTTGCTCACTGATCAGATAGATTTGAATTTTATTGAATTTAGTTCGTGATGAGGAAATTGGTAATCAGGATAGATCTTGAAACTAGGTAAAATTATGGCTCAGGTAAAAATTGTGAATTATGAATTGTTCCTCATCTATAGTTAATGACAATAAAACTGGGCAGTTTCCTCGAATAGAATGTTATTTGGTATAATATTCACTGTTGTTATAATCTGTTTTATATTAATAATGTATTTCACACTAATGCTCGAGTGTTTTGAAATAGATATCTAGCGATAATTTTTATTATCTCTTCTCTTTCAGCATCCACTTTAGTCACGAGGAAATGCACAGGTTATAAAACGAACAAAGTAGTTTCCTACCTGTGTTGGAAATCAGACCAAATTATTTCCAAGCAAGGTTAGTACCTATATTATTCCTAGATGAAAAGTAATTAATCCTATTTTGAAACAGTTAACGAAAAATCTATTTTACGGACTGGATTATTATTAAAAAAC